TTGGTTTTTTTCGAGACAGGGTTTCTCTGTGTAGCTCTGACTGTCCTGGAACTCACTCTGTAGACCAGGCTAGCCTCGAACTCTCGAACTCAGAAATCCACCTGCCTCTGCCTCCCAAGTGCTGGGATTAAAGGCGTGCGCCACCACCGCCCGGCCTCAGCAAGAACAATCTTAAAAAGAACAAAATTAGACTATACTACAAAGCTATAGCAATCAAGGTAATATACATGCTCAAAATTGAATGCCCTTCAAAGGATTCAGAAGGTATCTAGACTCAACTGTTAACATTTCAAAATGTCAGGACAAGGACATGCTGTGGTGGGTAGAACAAAAATGGCCCCCACAGGTTCATTCATCTGAATGCTTGGTTCCCAGTTGGTGGAGTATCTAGGATTACTAGGTGCTATTATTGGAGGAGGTGTGAGACTGGGGTTGGGCGTTTTAAAAGCCCAGTTGCACTCTTTTTCTGCCTGCTGCCTGTGGATCAGGACGTAAAGCTCTCAGTTCCTGTTCCAGCACAATGCCTGTATGCCTGCTGCCATATTCCCAGCCACGATGGCCATGGACTCACCCTCTGCAGTGTCAGCAATCCCCAAATAAATGCTTCCTAAAAGTTGCCTTTTTCATGGTGTCTCTTCACAGCAACAGAACACTAAGACAAATGCTATGCTAAAAGTTCCAAAAATAAATAAATAAACAGTTACTCATAGGGAATAAGAAAAAAAACTGGCGTCAAACTTCTATAGGTGGTGGGATTCTAATAGATAATAATGACATGGCTTTAAAACCTATATTCTACACCCAGACAATCTATCATTCGGGCATACACTCAGAAAAAGTCCATTTTCAGGAATACAGGGCCCAGAAGATTATTTTCCACAATTAATTGGAGGACTCAAATACGTATTACAACAAAATAAAGGAATACATTTCTTAAATGACAAAACATGGGATCTAAGAAATAGTAACTAGCTCAGAAATGCTTCAGCTTTTCAGTTCTGAGAGCTGAGTCTGGAATCTTGGTTTCTTTAAAAAAAAAAAAAAAACACAGAAATATTGTACGAATGTGATTTCACATTAATCCCAGGTATGGGGCTGCTTGGACTGCCTGCTGCAGCTGACCATGATTTGCCTCCTGCTCTAGCAAAAGCATGGTCCCGCCTCTGACATCACTAGAGCCTAAGAGGTGGGGTGTATGTTGGTCATTTAGGGAGGTTAGTTGTGTTAGTAGCTGTGGACAAACAAGAAACAAAAAGGAAAGAAATTAAGATTTAGGAGTCTCTTTCCCCTATGTCTTTGTTTCTCTCCTATCTAGTGTCGCGGAGTGAAACTGGGGGGTGGAAGGGTGGGGAGTGGGGGTGGCTAGGAAAATGAAGAACCCACAAAGTAGCAAAGGCCAGTTACAAGTGGTGCCCAGCATGGGGGCCTGATAAAGAAAAAACAGGAATTTGATTTCAAATGCCATAGAAGAAACTGCAGGGAACAGAGGGATGGATTCTCTAGAATTCCCAAAAATGTTATTACAACTTCCTTTAGTGACTTTTAGTTACATCAACTGAGTAAAAAGATATTGTTACTATTTCTTTCTTTCACATTCATTCATTCATTCATTCATTCATTCATTCATAATTTTCCAAAGCCGGGTTTCTGTGTAGCTTTGGCTGTTCTGGAACTCACTCTGTTAGACCAGGTTGGCCTCAAACTCAGTGATTTGCCGGCCTCTAGCTCCCAAGTGCTGGGAGTAAAAGAATGTACTACCACCACCTGGTTCTCATTTTTATTTCTTAAACTAGGGTCTTTTATAGTTAAGGCTGGCCTCCGACTTGCTATAGAATAATGTGGCCCTACCACTGATAGTTACATTTAATGTCACAGAAAGCAGAGAAAATAGTTTTTCTTGTTATATGAACTCTGCAGTCAGTATTATATTGTACTTTATTATATTATACAGGTTCTTACTCTGGTTTTGGCTGACCTGGAACTATGTATACCAGAGTAGCCTGAAAGCTTAGAACAAAAAGAAGAAATCACACCCAAAAGGAATAGATGGAAAAAAAAAATCAATCTCAGGGATAAAATCAATCAAATAAAAGAGTCAATGAAACAAAGGTTTGTTGTTGTTTGAGAAAATCAGTGAAATTGACCAACCTTTATCTAAATTAACTAAAAGGCAGAAAGACAGTATCTGAATTGACAAAATTAGAAATGAAAAGGGAGACATAACAACAGACACTGAGGAAATCCGCACACTAAAAAGGACATACCTTAAAAACCCATACTCCATCAAATCAGAAAATCTAAAAGAAATGAGTAATTTTCTTGATAGGTACCACTTATCAAAGTTAAATCAAGGTCAGATAAACAATTTAAACCGACCTATAACCCCTAGTGAAATAGAGGCAGTCATCAAAAGTCTCTCAATAACAACAACAATAACAACAGACAACAGCCTAGAGCATGACGATTTTAGAACAGAAGTCTACCAGACTTTCAAAGAAGAGCTAATGCCAACACTCCTCAAACTATTCCACAAAATACAAACAAAAGAAGAATTTGGGGAAAAAAAAAACCTAGATGTCCCTTAATAGATGAATGGATAAAGAAAATGTGATACATTTATACAATGGAGTACTTTTTAGCCAGTTAAAAAAAAAAGAAATTCACAGGTAAATGGATAGAACTAGAAAATATCATCCTGAGTGAAATAACCTAGACATAGAGAAACAAACATGACCAGTGTCTTGCTCCCACTGCAGCAGATGAGAACAAAGACAGAGACCCACAGCCAGACATGAAGCAGAGTGAGAGACCTTGGAACACTCTGCCCTAACTGAGTGTTGCCATCAAATCCCTCCCTCAGGGAACTCAATGGAAGGCAAGGTAGAAAGAGTCTACGAGCCAGAGGGCATAGAGGACACCAAGAAAACAAGGCCCTCTAAATCAACACACACACACACACACACACACACACACACACACACGAAGGCAAGGCATATTAAAGTTAAAATTAATCAATAACAAGTTTCTATTTGGAAGGCAAGTAAAGGTTCTGGAGAGTATGTGATTAATGTAACTAGAATTCAAATTACTAATAAAAAGGAGGAAAATATCAGGAATAGGCACAAAAAAAATCTCTGATCTATAAAAATTACTTATGACTGTAGTCTCGAGCGAGAATTACAGCCAAAGTCACTGGACTCATATTCTATATAGGAAGCTAACACAGGCTGAATGTCTCTCTTTCTAAATGTGTAATCCAAAAGGCTCAAAACTCTAAGCCTTCCTGAGCATGAACATGACATCACAAGTGGAAAATTCCACATCTGACAGAAGATGAGGAGTTGCAGTCAAAACAGCATGCTAAAAATACTGCATACGGTCACTCTCAGGCAAAGCAAAGCAAAGCACACGAGACAAATAATGTTTTTTTCTTTAGATTGGGTCTCACTACCAAGGTAAATTTATGTGTGTGTGTGTGTGCATGAAATGTATATTTGCATATATTTATTTGCATATATATTTATGCAATTCTAAAAATCTTAATACTAAAAAATCTCAAAATGTGAAACACTTTTGGCCAAAAACATTTCATACATATTCAGCCTGTATGTATAGTTAATAAATTTCGTGGGCCATGCCCAACACCTAGAATGGAGGTCAGAAAAGACATGCGCCCAGGGAAGAAAGACTGCTGGAAGGATGGAGAGAGAGAAGCTACATAATCTGTCACTGTCACAACACCATGGAGAACAGTAAGCAGGATGCTGAGTTAAAGAGTCATGGGCTTAGCAGTCAGAAACAGGTCAGAACAGGTCAAACCCACAACTGTTTTCCAGCTACAGGAATGTCACCAAATGACTGTCACTTTTCATTTCAGCAAAATGACAGGTAATTATGTTGGTTGCCTTGCTTACACTGGAAAGGATACTTTTTCACGTACTTGGAAGGAGAGTCTATAATCCTGGCCAACAATTTGCCCGCAACCTGAGTGAGCCTGAACCAGAACCACCCAGCCACCAGTCCCTCAGAAGCTTCATGAGCTAATGTATTTTTGCCTGTAGTTGCTAGGTTTTGATATAATCTGTTACATAGCAACTGGAAAATAATACGTTATATGTAATAATCTGTCTATTAACTGACAGGCTAAAAGTCTTCTAAATATAGTTATTAAGACTCTACCATCTAAGCTAGATTATAGACACTAGCATGTTCATCACCCATAACAGCATGCTTATACAGCAGAATAGCATACTTCAGATTGAACTTCTTGAACCAATTTTGGTCAGATGGAAGATAGCCATAGAAATGAAAACCAAAGTTCAGTACCTCAGACCCTGGCCCAATGCTCAGACTGCGTACACTTGCTTTGGTTTACCTCTGCAGTATCTACCTATGTACAGTATGTTTTGGTATTAACAAAAGTACCTTTAATCCTACCTGAATGAGGCATTTGCTCACATCGCTGGCACAGAGTGCTTTGTTACAGCTCTGTGACACAGGAAGACACATCAGGAACATCAGGGAGGCTAGAGTTAGCACAACATAGTGTGACTTCATGATTCTTCAAAGAAGTCACTTAGTAGCTTCCAAGAAGCTAGAAACAAAAACAAGCAAACAAAAACTTTAATTCAAAGGCAAGCGGTAGGTTACAAACCAAGACGAAAACAAACAAAACAAGGAACATAAGCCAAGAGTTACTTGCTTGTGTCCAAACCCCTGAGGAATCATTTGAAGAAGGTTCTCAAAGATCACTTAAACATTCAAACATTCAGGGTTGGGTGGCCTTCTTTAAAGAATGAACCTAGAATACTACTCAGATGTGGGGATGACTAAAATCCTAGTTAACATTGCTGAAGCCCCAGCAATCTGAAAGGATCCAACTGTACTGACACTATTCAAATTTCAACTTCACATTTTATTTAAAATCAATCTTAGTATTTAACCTTAAACCCATGTAAGAACTAATAATAGTGCCAGGTGTGATGGTGCGGGCCTTTAAAATTCCAGCACTGCTGGGCAGTGGTGGTGCACGACTTTAATCCCAGCACTTGGGAGGCAGAGGCAGGTGGATTTCTGAGTTCGAGGCCAGCCTGGTCTACAGAGTGAGTTCCAGGACAGCCAGGGCTACACAGAGAAACCCTGTCTCGAAAAACAAAACAAAACAAACAAACAAAAAAAAAATTCCAGCACTCAGGAGGCAGAAATTTGGAGACATGTTCAAGGCCAGCCCCAGCTACCTACCTAGTGAGATCCTGTCTCATATATATATATATATATATATATATATATATATATATATATTATACATACATACACATACATATATACATGTATACACACACACACACACCCGCCATGCGTATGGGCTGGAGAGATGGCATAGTGGTTAGGTGGATGTACTGCAGTTGCAGAAGACTTGAGTTTGGTTCCCAGTACCCATCTGGGGCAGCTCACAATCACCTGTAACTTTAGCTCCAGGGGGAAGGAGGCTGAATCTTATGACTTCCTGGGGCATCTGAACACACACTCACATACACATAATTAAAAACAATAAAAATACATCTTTAAAGATACCAATACTGTATTATGTTAAAGCACCTTTTAAATTCTCTGTGTATGTGTGCACATATGCAGCTGGAGATGAAACTCTGGGCTTCACGTGTGTGAGGCAAGGTTTCTACCATGAACTACACCTTCAGCTCCAATTTTAAAAATCTGAGTATCAAAACAAAACTACAAATGAAAATTATTCTGGTGATTATCTCATTTTGTTAGAAAAGTACTTCAGAGAGAGAAGCGTGGGATCCACAACTATTCAAATAAGTGTACCAATAACAAAGGGCAGCAAATTATGAATTGCATTAAGAATTGTAGGTAAATGTGAAGATATTCTTTCTGTTAGCCTGGCAGATTCTTCTGTTATTAAGAAGGTATTATAGTACAAAAAGAAACCAGAGGGACACCAGCACAAATTTTCACAGGGGTTATAATTTAGGGCTGGTCAGCTAGCTGGGTGGCAAAAAACATTTGCCTGACAAACCTGAAAGCCTAAGTTCTAGTCCTCAAAATTCCACAGGAAGAGAACTGCCTCCCTCCAAAGTTGTTCTTTGACACACACACCATGACACAGGTGCACTGGTACATAGGCATGCTCTCGCGCGCATAAACACACACTTGTGCACACACACACTAAAAATTTAAAGATATAATTTCTTAAGGCCAAAACACAAATTCCCAATAAAATCAATTAAATAATAGCTGGGCCTGATGAGACATGCCTGTGATCCCGGCACTTGGCAAGCAAGGCAAGAGGATAATGAATTGCAGGCCAGCTTTACTTTCAAGTTAGATAAATTAACGATAAAAATAAGGGGCCAGAGAGATGGCTCGATGTTTTAAGAGCACTTGCTACTCTTTGTAGAGGACCCGAGTTCAGGTCCCAGCACCCACACTGGCAGGGTACAAGGGTTTGCTAGTCCAGCTCTGGGGGATCCAATGCCCTCTTCTGGCCCCTAGCAACACCAGGACGAAAGTATGCACACATATACAGACGCATACATTTTTAAAAAAAGAATCAAATAAATCTTCTCAAAACAATAATATATAATTCTGACGTAGGGCGAGTTAGAAAGTGGATCCTGCTGGATACAAAACTATGAGACGCTACACTACGGGCTTTGCAAGGGGTATGACTTCGTTCTGAAACAGAAAGTCTAGCGCTCCTGACCGTCAGCGGGAGACCGTTAGTAATCCCATTTTCTCGCCCGCTCCCCGCGGACCCATCCGGCTCCCTGGGCATCCTGCCCACAGCCGGTGCGGCCCCTCCGCCGCCGGCCGCGGTGACCCGAGACACCCCTGGCTGCCCCGAGCGACTTCCCGCAGTCCTCCCGGGAGCCAGGTGACCGCGGGGTGGAGCCCGACGTCCTATACTGGCGCACGGACCCGGGGTTCCGAAGGCGGCAGCACCGCGGCCCTTTGTCCCCGCTGCTCCGGCCTCCCAGCGCCCGCACCCCCGCCGAACGCCGCGGCCTGGCCTCCGAGCCGTCGCCCGCCGGCCCGCGCGCGTTCGCTCACCGTGGCCGCGGCCTCCTCCTGGCGGCCGAGCCTCCAAGCAGCTCCCGCGAACCCCGGCGCCGCCGACACAGAGGCCCGCGCCGTTGCCCGCCGCTCCCCGCCCGCGCCCGGCCGCAGGCCACGCCCCCTGGAGCTCGAGCTGGCCACTCCCTCGGACCACGCCCCCAGGTGTGTGCGCTCCGGCCTCTCGCGAAGCCGGGCCCAACCCGCCAGCCGTCTGGTCTGCTGCCACCTGTTGGACGGCTTACCTCTGGCTCCAGCCGCTGTGCTCTGTGGTTCAGCAGCCCTGCCACAGAGCTGTTTTGTTCCCCTTACTGGATGTAAGAATGAGGCACAGAGCAGATGAATAGAACATGACAGATACTTCACATGCGAGGCAGGGTTCATTTTAAACACTTGTTAAAATACCTTGGGATCACTGAATACGGATCTGTCCCACACTTTGGTCACTAATTCATAAAAATGTTCTGAATCCTTTAAGTGCCTGATACTGCCTTTAAGTCAAAATGGAGAGAAGGCAGCAGTGAATTCTGGTAAGGAATGTCGCTAGGTAGGGAGGGAGGGAGATCAACTGGAAGCCTCAGTTGAAAAGGGAGGTCGAGTCAGTATTGGCTTGATCAGTCCATTGAGCTTTATATTTTAGGAAGATGGGGCTTATCCCACCAATAGTCCACAAATAAAGTCAATTTACAATTACATTTAAGTCTTGACCATAACCTAGGAAATTGCTTTTCCAGCACTATTCCAGAGCCATTGATTTGGGGCCCACATACCAGGTTCACTTTGGGATCAATGGCCTAGTGTCAAATACTTAACCTAGGAAGTGTCTTAAACGGGGTTGCACTCCCCTTGGTTTACTGGAAGGTAGTGGAATAAAAATAAGTTATTGGCTGAGGTGGATAGAAATAGGTTACTAGTTAATGTGGGTCACAGTGGTGGTACTATTTCATTTTGTAAAGTAAGCATAGACTTTCTTTAAAAATTGGGGGCTGAGTAGATGGCTCAGTTGGTTCAGATTAATATGTCCATGTAAAAGCCAGGCACAGGGATTGATGTATGAAACCCAGCCCTGGAAGGAGGTAGAGACAGGAGGATTCCTGGACTCACTGAAGCTCCAGGTGCAGTGAGAGACCCTGTTTAGGAAAATTAAAAGTAAGAAAGCCAGCTGGGCAGTGGTGCATGCCTTTAATCCCAGCACTTAGGAGACAGAGGCAGGTGGATTTCTGAGTTTGAGGCCAGTCTGGTCTACAGTGTGACTTCCAGGACAGCCAGGGCTACACAGAGAAACCCTGTATCAAAAAACAAAAACAAACAAAAAAAATTAAGAAAGCTATCCAAGGTGGTTCAGTTTATAAGGACATCAAACCTGATGACCTTACTTTCAGCTGCCACCAAACCTTATGTTCCAGTCTCAAGATCCACAAGGTGGAAGTAGAGAGCCAATTCTTGTAAGTCATCTGATCTCCACACATGTACCACAGAAGGAGCACACACACACACACACACACACACACACACACATTTGGGTGCACATGCATGCACAAACATGCACATTCACACACTATTTTAAAAATAGAGTGATATAAGACTACCTCACACGTCAGCCATGCACACGTGTACACATTACTAACAGGTACATATACACCCCCACACATTAAGTGAAGCACCCCTGAAAACTATCCTAAGAAAATAGAGGTTTACACAAATTAAGATTTAAGGATTTTTTTTTTTTGGTTTTTCAAGACAGGGTTTCTCTGTGTAGCGCTGGCTATCCTGGAGCTCACTCTATAGACCAGGCTGGCCTCAAACTCAGAAATCGGCCTGCCTCTGCCTCCCAAGTGCTGGGATTAAAGGCATGCACCACTGTTGCCCTGCAAATTTAAGGATCTTATTCTTAGCATTACTTATGAGTTACAGAAATTACGACACACTAGAACAATGGGCTAGTTCACCCATTTAAAAACAATATTGTAGATCACAGAGTCTCAAACCTCTTGCTCACAGGATTCTATACTATTGAAAACACGGAATTTTAAAGAGGTTGTGTATCGTATCTATCAATATTTGAAATTAAATTTTTTTTGGTTAAAAATTGTTCATTATTTCATTAAAACTAAACCTAGTACATAGTTACATAAATAACATTTATTTTAATAAGTGCATTTGAAAAATAAAACTGTGATGGATTAAATAATATCCCCCATAGGCTTGTGTGTTTGAACATGTCCCTAGTTGGTGGCACTGTGTGTAAAGACTGTGTAACCTTTGAGGGGTGGAGTACATTTTGGAGAAGGTACTTCACTAGGGACTGACTTTGAGGTTTGATAACATGGACCTATTTCCTGTTTTCTGTCTGCTTTCCTGTGTGAGGATGCTATGTGATTTATCCCCTTATCCACCCTAAAGGGAACCCAAGACTTGGGTTTCAGGAGCCCTGGATCAGACACTCCTGATTGTCTGGCTTCTCTTTATCCTGGGACTCTATACTGGTGTTTTCTGTAAGGAGCCCCTATTTGTGTCCAATTCCCATGGAAGTGGGCTTGACCGTCTGGGTTGTAAGGATACTCAGCTACTGTTCAAGCTCAGACTCTGTTTTGTTTCTTTTGTTTCCTTCCGGTCCTATAGGTCTCTTGAGTCTTTCAACTCCACGTTGGATCCTCAGAACAGGCTGGACAGACGAATATACTGCAACAAAGGACTAATTTTACACCTAAGCAAGGGAGATTTTTGTGGCACCAACAAAGTTCTGCATGACAGACTGAAATGATGCCCCTGAAATGATTCCCCAAGATCACATGAATGATAGCACACGTGGACAGAAGAGATCATCAGGATCCACCAGGGAAACTTGCTCTGCCTCTTTTCCCTATATAACCCAGAGAATCTTGTGAACACTCTGAAACAGTGTTTAGGTCATCAGTACTCTGTATTTGCCAGTGTGATCATGTCCTTTATGTAAATAATAATAATAGTAATAATAATGCTCTTTTCTTGACTTTAATGCTCTTTTTTTGACCAGCTTCTTTTTAGTTGGTTTTTTGGGATGGAGGTGGGAATGGGGGCCTGAGCCTAGTCCACAAGGACTCTTGGGAGCTGGGGCTTTTGACCCAATTCTGTATTGGTTCTAAAAGGTGGGGTGGGACACAGCCTCATTACTACCCATAGGAGGCTGGGTGAGGGGTCCTGGCATAAACAAAAAGCCAGTAAAAATGGGAACACTTCTTTGTCAGCTTCTGGTCAAGATATCACAGACTCATTTCTTCTTTCTTGAGTGGATCAAATCAGCTGATTCTACAGATTTTGAGTCAAAGGACCTTGGGTTTCTCAGTCTCTCCACCAGCTTGAGTCAGGAAGTGGGGGATGGCAAGCCTGATGAAGCACACCCCAATTGTGCTCTCTGCCCTGTTATCTCTATCAGTATGGTCGCAGTAAAAGGACAAAGGCAGAAAACCAATGTCTTTCAAGGGTCTGTGGTCTCTGTTTTAAGTAGGAATAATGTAGACAGGATTGCTATAAACTGATCCCTAAGGACAAAACTCTTAGGCACCTACCAAGAGACTGTTTTTTCAGCAAAATGACTCTCAAGGACCATTGAAATATTTACATGTGTCCTTCACAAAAATTACAGGGCTCACTGCTGCCTGTCATGGTAGGTCCAAATTTATTTATTTAGGAATTTGTTTTCACTTTAAATTCCACCCTCTAGAGCACAGAAACAATACATGTATGACTGAGGAGACCCCAACAATGGTGGTCCTCGATGATAAGAGGCTTTTCTATTTTATCCTACAGATGTTGTTCCTACTTGTGTCTCATGCCTGTAATCATTAGCAGTTGGGAGACCACACAGCAACACTGCAAGCTCCAGGCCCAGTCTAGCCTTTAAAATGGAAGAAAGCCTGTCTCTCAAAACTATTTCTTTTCTTTCTTTCTTCCTTCCTTTCTTTCTTTTTTTTTTTTTTTTTCGAGATAGGGTTTCTCTGTGTAGTCCTGGCTGTCCTGGAGCTCACTCTGTACACCAGGCTGGCCTCGAGAACTCAGAAATCCGCCTGCCTCTGCCTCCCAAGTGCTGGGATTAAAGGCATGCACCACCACCGCCCGGCTATAACACTATTTCTTTTTGTATATATTGCTACTAGTTCCCTAAGCCCTGCAGAGTCAAATATTTACACATTTATAAAAATTACAGAAAACACAATCCTCAATACTGTTATATGCTTTATATCTACATGTTCCTTTAAAAAACTAAAGAAAATTTATTTATATTAGTGTTCTGCCTACATGTATGTCTGTGTGAGGGTGTGAGATCCCCTAGAAGTGGAATTACAGACAATTGTGAAGTGCCCATGTGGGTGCTGGGAATTGACTCCAGGTCCTCTGGACGAGCAGCCAGGACTCCTAACTGCTGAGCCATCTCTGCAGCCCTAGGTGTCCCTTTTTATACTGGTGACATTTTCGAGAAACTTCTCCAGTGGTATGATAGTTAATCTTGTCCACGTGAATTGAGAGACATCTGAGAAGTTTGTAAAACACACCTCTAAGTGAGTCTATGAGGGAGTTTCCAGAGATGGACCTCCAGGGCTCTGAGCTAGCCAGTAGTTTAATCTACAGATGGATTTAAAACTTGAACATGTATTAAGGTGTGGAGAACTAAGAAAGGTAGGACCTGTCTAGAGGAAGTGAGTTCTTTGAGAGTATGCCTTTGAAAGTTTTATTTGTTTGTTTGCTTGTTTTTAAGACAGAGTCTCCTTATGTAGCTCTGGCAATAACTGGAACTCCCACAGGCCTGCCTCTGCTTCCTAAGCGCTGGGATCAAAGATGTGTGCCACTAAGTCAGGTGCCATATGTCTGGACCCAGAGATGGACTTGGGTCAGAGACCTGTTTGTTTCTCTTCTTAGCATGTTCTTATTAGACACATCATTTTTTCTGCTTTTCATGGTTTTCTGACTCATTAATTGGTATCTAGAGGATAGGGGGCCAAGACTAGCTTGTTAGGGCTGCCAGAGTGCAGGATTTGACCCTAACAGCTCTGCTAATTCAGGGTGGGGGTGGATACAACTGAATGA